TTTCCACCTTCAATAAGAGATGTTGGTAAGATTTATGTTTCTATTTCATAATCATATTTTGGATGTACTGTGAACATTTGACATCGTATACATCTGTAATTTGACTCGTTTGTATACATATGCAAATGTTAATGACTCTGGCTTGCATATTCTACTCCCAATAACCTGTCATAGAGCCTATCTTTCTTTAACACAAAATATCTATCGAACAGTTATTTCATCTTCGAGTTGATGCAGACAGATCTTCACTCGATAATCGCATCTCCTCAGTCATTATCAGAAGATCATGTGAAAATTTTTCTTTACCAGATTCTTCGCGGTAAGCATCTATATGATTAACAGTGATTAAAGAACATTAATAGGTTACCAAACGGTCTCTCGTAGTAAATTTGATCTTATATCTATTTACCTTGACATTTTATTGTATTTCCCTTTTATTAAATATCAATTTCAGATTTTGCTTAAAATTATGTCTATTTAGAGGTGATTGTGTAGCACATCGTCATGCAATTTTCTTTGTAACAGGCTTGAAGTATCTACATTCCGCCCGCATAATACATCGTGACATCAAGCCCGGAAATATGTTGGTCAATTCTGATTGTCTTCTGAAGGTTGGTTTACTGCGAATTTAATTCATTCCTTTCATAAATACACCATTGACTATGTAGTTTAGAGAATCTGAACAGCCATCCAAACACGATTCAGTTTTCCGTGAACATTTAAGAGTTCTACTCAGTATCATTAAGTCTTCTGAAAAACAAGGCTCCGTAAAATTAAATGTTAGATTGCTTTATTGTTCCGTTTCCTCTTGGGGTGCACAGTACTCAAACAAGGTATTACTCTAATGACTTATAGCAACCAATGACCATGAAAGTTGTTCTTATCACTGTCTAGGTTGCCTGGTTTGTACCTGTGGATGTATAACTATTGAATGGACTGTTTATTAGTATGTAGATTTATATATATTTATTATTTTTCTTTTAGATTTGTGATTTCGGTCTGGCTCGTATTGAGAGTCAATCGGAATGTGACAGTCTGACCCAGGAGGTGGTCACTCGTTATTATCGATCGCCTGAGCTGCTCATGGAGTGCCCTAAATACACGAGCGCTGTGGATCTCTGGAGTGTTGGATGCACCTTCGGCGAACTTTTGAAGCGCAAGGTCTTATTTCCGGTAAGTGCTTCTTTACTTAATGTTTTTACCTGTGGAAATTTATTTTAAGCAAAGTTCCTCTCTGGCTTCATTTTTATTGGGTTTGATTCTTTTAATACAATTTTCTCTTTTCTGCTTAAATCCAATTTAAGAGAAAGAATCTAGAATACGAC